CACCTTTGCTCCAGTCAATGTTACAACTGAAGTAAAAAGTCTGTTGAAATGCACCATGAAGCTTTGAGTGAGGCTCTTCCTGGGGACAACGTGGGCTTCAATGTCAAGAACGTATCTGTCAAAGATGTTCGTCGTGGCAATGTGGCTGGTGACAGCAAAAATGACCCACCAATGGAAGCAGCTGGCTTCACGGCTCAGGTGGTTATCCTGAACCATCCAGGCCAAATCAGTGCTGGATAGGCACCTGTGCTGGATTGTGACACAGCTCACATTGCTTGCAAGTTTGCTGAGCTGAAGGAGAAAATAGATCGTCGATCTGGAAAAAAGCTGGAAGATGGTCGCAAATTCTTGAAATCTGGTGATGCTGCCATTGTTGATATGGTTCCTGGCAAGCCTATGTGTGTTGAGAGCTTCTCTGACTATCCTCCTCTGGGCCGTTTTGCTGTTCGTGACATGAGACAGACGGTTGCTGTGGGTGTCATCAAAGCAGTGGACAAGAAGGCAGCTGGAGCTGGCAAGGTCACCAAGTCTGCCCAGAAAGCTCAGAAGGCTAAATGAATTTGATCCCCAATACCTGCCACCCCAGTCTTAATCAGTGGTGGAAGAACGGTCTCAGAACTGTTTGCGTCAACTGGCCATTTAAGTTTAATAGTAAAAGACTGGTGAATGATAACAATGCATCGTAAAACCTTCAGAAGGAAAGGAGAATGTTTTGTGGACCATGTTTTGTGTGTGTGTGTGTGTGTGTGTGAGTGTGTGTGTGGCAGTTTTAAGTTATTAGTTTTTAAAATCATTACTTTTTAATGGAAACAACTTGACCAAAAATCTGTCACAGAATTTTGAGACCCATTAAAAGAAACGTTTAATGAGAAAAAAAAAAAAAAGGAACAAGCTCCTGGTTTTATCGATCTGTTCTATTGTTTTTTTAGTTTTCATTTATTTCTGCTCGAATCTTTAGTGTTTCCTTCCTTCTAGTGGTTTGGAGTTTTGTTCTTCTTTTTCTAGCTCCTTTAGGTGGAAGGTTAGGTTGTTGGAGATTTTTCTTGCTTCTTGCAGTAGGCCTGTAGTGCTCTAAACTTCCCTCTTCCAACAGCTTTTGCTGCATCCCAGTGATCTGGACCGTTGTGTTTTCATTTTCATTGGTCTCCATGTACTTTTTTATTTCCTCTTTGATTTCTTGGTTGACCCATTAATTCAGTGTTTAGTAGCATGTTGTTTAGTCTCTACATATTTGTGTTCTTTCCAGATTTTTTACTTCTGGTTGATGTCTACTTTCATACTGTTGTAGTCAAAAAAGATTCATGGCATGACTTCAGTCTTCTGTAATTGTTGAGACTTGTCTTGTGGCCTAATATATGGTCTATTCTGGAGGATGCTCTGAGTGCACTTGGAAAGAATGTGTATGCTGCTGTTTGGGGGTGGGTTGTTCTGAATATATCTGTTGGATCCATCTGGTCCAGTCTGTCATTCAGAGCCACTGATTCCTTGTTGATTTTCTGTGTGGATGATCTCTCCACTGATGTTAGTAGGGTGCTAAAGTCCAGCCAGACCAGACGTCTGCTCCGGGTCCAGGGCTGGGGGCGTAGCTGGACTGCTGTGTGTGGTTATTGTCCCCTCTCCCTGGGCAGGAGTCACTCTGGAGTGATGTCGGCCCCTGTCAGCGCTGCTTGCACACTGCCAGCTTGTGGTGCTGCTTTGGATGGGTTCTGGCCAGGTGTGTACTGGAGAGGCAGGTCTGTAGGAGAACTCAGGGGCGGGGCGTGCAGATTAGCAAGCTTTGTCCAGGTCAGCTGTAGGAGGGGATCAGAGGTGCTCAAAACTCGTGCAGAAGCTGGCCAGGTTGGAGGTGGGCATCTGCAGCAGAATGTAGGCTGGGGCATGCTGTTAGCAGTGTAGGGGGACACTGTTTCTGCTGCCCTGGTTCCCAGAGGTGTCCATGTATCTAGGGAGGGAAGTAGCACCCACGAGGTCTTTTGTTCTTGGCAAAGTCTCCCAAACGTCCCTGGCCCTCCAGCACTTGCTCTGAGATTAGCAGTCAGTGTTCTCGTAGAACCCAGCATTTTTCAGACCGTTGCTTCTATGCTATCTCAGCCTGGCTATTTGTTGTGCTGCCTCTTTAAGGCCAAAGATCCGTTTCCTCTCGCCCTCCAGGCTCTCCCAGAACTGGGCTGGCTGATTTTTGAAGTTTCGGGTGTTATGCCCTGCTGATTGTAAGACCTGGTGTAATTCTGCCCCCCTCATTTTCATGCGGGTTCTCTGTGCCTGAGGCATCCCTCCCTCCTGCACAGTCCTGAGTCTGTTTGGATCCCAACTGCGTCTCCACCCTTCCTGCTTTGATGTGCTCCCTTCTCAGCATTTTGCTGTGGAGAGTCTGCTCGGCCAGTCCTCAGGTCACTTCCTGGGTTATTTACCCTGAGGTGGGTGTTATCTAGGTGGGTCCTGGGATGAGGGGAGCTTCGGATCCTCCTACTCCACCATCTTCCCCGGAAGTCTGCTGTATTCTTTTTTATAAGTTCCCAGCTCTCTGCCAAAATTCTCAATCTTTTTTTTTTTTTTAAAGATTTGTTTATTTGACGGAGAGAGACCCAGCGAGAGAGGGAACACAAGCAGGGGGAGCGGCAGAGGGAGAAGCAGGCTTCCCGCGGAGCAGGGAGCCCGATGCGGGGCTCGATCCCAGGACCCTGGGACCAGGACCTGAGCCGAAGGCAGACGCCCAGCGACTGAGCCACCCAGGCGCCCCTTGTCTTTCTTTCATATAGTATTTTACAGTTTGTTTCACCCAGTGTTCCTTTATAGTGCCTTGTCTTTTACCTTTTTAAGTTGTATGGGATGTTTTGCTTGAAAATTTGCCTGTAAGACTGAGGCCTAGAAATTGGTCTTATATCGTTTTCGTTGGTCTTTGAGCACCTTTTCACATTCTTACTGGCCATCTTTTATAAAGAGACTGGTCAGGGTTCTTTACCTTTTAAAAGTTGAATTATCTCTTGATTATGGATTTGTGGGAATTCATTATGTATTCTTTCACATATTTACACATCATGGATACATTGTATCAGTCTGTGGCTTGCCTTTCATTTTTTTAATGGTGAATGTGAAATGGCAGATGTTTTAATATTGTTGAGGTCCAGTTTATCCCATCATTTAATTTTTTTGTTCTATATTAGGGATCTTTGCCTCTGTCAAATCCAGATAGTCTATTACGTTCCTGTGGGTTTTTTTTTTTTTTCTAGAAGTTTTATTGTTTTAGCTGCTGCCTTGAGGCCTGCAAGCCACTTCAAATTACCCGTATGGTTTGATGTGGGGGTCTTTTTTCCCCCTGTATGGAGATCTGGTTGTTAAAGCACCTTCCTTTCCACACTGAATCGCACAGACATTGGTCAGGTGGTCATATATGAGCCCACTCCTGAACTCACGTTTTTGTCACACTGAGCTATTTTTCATCCTAATGACGGTACTACACCCCCTTAAGTACTGCAGCTTTATACTATATGTAGTACCTAGGAGGGCACAACCTCCAACATCAGTCTTCTTCAAGAATTTAATTTTTCAAGGCACCTGGGTGGGTCAGTCAGTTAAGCATCTGCCTTCGGCTCAGGTCATGATCCCAGGGTCCTGGGAGGGAGTCCTGCATCGGGCTCCCTGCTCAGCGGGAAGCCTGCTTCTCCCTCTGCCTCTGTGGCTCCCCGTGCTTGTGCTTGCTCTCGTGCTGTCAAATAAATAAATAAAATCTTGAAAAAAAACTGGTCCTTAATATTTCCATATACATTTTAGAAGCTTTAAGATTTTTTTTATTTACTTGACAGAGAGAGAGAGAGAGAGCAAGAGCAGGAACACAAGCAGGGGGAGCGGCAGAGGGAGAAGCAGGCTTCTTGCGGAGCAGGGAGCCCGATGCGGGGCTCGATCCCAGGACCCTGGGATCGTGACCTGAGCCGAAGGCAGACGCTTAACGACTGAGCCACCCAGGCGCCCCTAGAAGCCTCTTTCTACAAATTTTGGTTGGGATCGTATTGAGTCTGTTCTTCAACTGGATGAAATCTGACATTTTAGCAATACTGAGTGTTCCTGTGAACGTGGCATCTGTTTCACTGTGTCTTTTTGATTTTCTCTCAGCAAACTTTTGTAGGTGTTACACATCTTTTATTGAATGTGTCCCTAGGTAAGTGACGTTTTGGAATGTGGATATCAGTTGTTCTTAAGCTTCCTTTTCCAGTTGTACGCTGCTCGTCTACGGACTCTGTACCTCGTGTCCTGCCATCTCTGCCACATTTGCTTGTCCGGGAATCAGTTTTATGTAGTCCTGGGTTTCCTCCAAGCACAGTCTTGCCCTCTGCAATGAGAACGGGTTTTCTTTCCCTTTTCTAGTCGCTCTCTTCTCTTTCTTGCTTTGGCTGGGACTTCCCACACCGTGGGGACCAGGAGCAGGGTGAGCTGTGGGGGAAGAGCATTTGGCATATTCCGTAGCAACGTAGGTTTGGGTGCGGGTTCCGCAGAGGCCCTCGCAGATGGGGGCAGCGTCCCCCAGCCTTGGCTGCTGCCCTCTCTGTGGAGGAGCGTGGGACTTCCCCGCTGCTCTTCTCTGCGGCCTCCGTTCTCTGTATCATGGTCATGTCGGGCTCACCGGCCATCTCCACTCACTTCTCCCTCTCGGGTGTGGAGAGCGGAGGGCCTGCCCCGCCACGGGCTTCTCGTCCCTGGTCCTTCCGTGGAAGCCCTGAGGTGGGGTGTGCAGTCCCTCACTGTGCCCACAGGGGTCAGGCCCCATGGGGCCCACTGTGGCCCATGGACAGCTGGGCCACGGGGTGGCCAGGCTGCAGCTTTGGGGAGACAGGGAGGGCACTGGCTGCTTCTTGGCCCCATGCTGTCACTCTGGTATCAGCCATTAGGGGGCATCCCGTGGCAAGTCCTGAGACTATTCTCTGCTGAGGATAGAGCATCTGCAGGGATCCCTGGGGAGGCCAGCTGTTGGCAGCCACATGTGCCTTCCTCTTCTTGTCTCGTAGATGAACGCCCCTCGAGCAGCAGTGGGGACACCATGTCTGACCCCAACGCCCAGCCCTCCAGCCACCGCGGCCATTCCTGGGACCACCCCAGCCCTGCCCGTGCCAGGTACTGCCCTTTCCGGCCTACCAGCCCCAGCCTGTGCCCGGCCTCTGGGCCAGTACGGAATCCTGTTCCCCCCTCCAGGGTCCTGGGGGCCCTGGGCGGCCCAGGTGGGCAGCCAGAGCCCCAGGCCCCGGCTGGGCTCGGGTGCAGCAGGTGTGCCTGCACTGCCGGTGTTCTTGAGGCCACCTGTGGTCAGTGCGCCTGGCCCTAGACTGCGAATCACGTAGCTCTCTCTTACCGCTCGGCGGCTGGACGCGTGGAGCTGACCAGTTGGGAGGAGCCTGGGTGGGGCTTGGCCTCTGAGTCCTGCCCCGCCTGCCCACGGGTGCCTGGTGAGGGGGCCGGCGTGTGGGCAGCAACGCTTGCTTCCTTTACTGTGCAGACCCTGCTCCCTCTTAGGTTTCCACGGTCTACACGTGCCTCCTTTGCACCCTGTACTTGAATCGATGGTTAGAACATTGTAATCACCCTGCAGAAGTCCAGTGCCTTGAATTCCAGCTTTTCTGTTGCCTGATAGAAAGAGATGTTAAAAAAAAAAAAATCACTTGTTGAAAAAACTGTATTTCATTTTGATAACTGGCTTGTGCATTGATATATGGCCCATTTTACACTGCAGATACGAATGGTTTATAAATCTGAAGCTAAAGCCTGACTTTAGATTTCTGTTGTACATGAGGTCTCCCTGGGCTGCTCCAGTCCCTGATAGCAGATAGACGGACACCCCCTGCCCCCAGCGGCAGTGCTCTGGGTGCTGCCAGCAAGCCACCCAGGGATGTGTGCTTCCTGGGACAGCATGTTGCTGGCAGCAGGTCTCTCAGTAAGGAACATGAGCAGCTGTGTTTGGCTGTGCAGAACCTGCCGGAAAGTGCTAGATGAGCAGACACACCCTCTTGACCCAAAGCTTGTGAGGCACAGGCAGGCCACCCACCCTGCAGAGACCGCATGGCGCCCTAAGCTCGGGTTCTGCTGACCCTCCTGCCAGCTGTGCTCCCTTTTCCACCATTTCTACGGAGGCCTGTGTGCATGCAGGTTGCCCTGCGTGGGCTGGGAGAACCCCTCTCCTGGAGATTTTGGTGGGACTTCTCCCAGATGGGCACTACACAGCCCCAGGGGGAGCTGCAGTCCCTGTTCCTCATGGCCAAGATGTTTCCCGTGTCCCTTCAGAAGGCAGCTGCCTCCGGCTGCCTAGCTGTGAACTGTATAGTTCTGCTGTACTGTGGGACCTCACGAGGACTGGCTAAATGATTTTAAGTGTATTATTCCATCAATTCAGTTAGAATTGAGTTTTCTGGGTGATTAGGCAGTCTTCTGCTAAGGCACGATGATGTAATAAGAGATTTCTGTTCTCTGTAACGTGCCCTTGGTCCCTTGGGGGAGAATTCCATGCACCTGGTTCCTGAGGGTGGTGGGAGCCACCCTCTCCTGCTCTCTCCATCTGCCCACTGCACCAGAGGTGAGATTTGGGGTTCTGGCCTCGTACATGTATGGTCAGTGGCACGCAATCCCCAAGAGATTGTATATATGAAGGAGAAAAATAAACATTTTTGCTTGAAAACAGTGTGGAACAACATCTTTTCCTTACTCTCTGCCCATGTAAAAGCTGAAGCAGCCAGGCTCCCAGGCTGTCCTGGGCACAGCCTCACACTCAGCTCCTCCCCTACTGTGGACACTGTGCCCACGAGGCCGGGGTGGCTGTGAAGAGCCTATGGATTGAATGGTGGGTGCTATGTCCCCAGCAGGAGCCACAGGTGGATGCTGAGCTGGTTGGGGATGAAAGTGGGGTGTTAGGTGGGACCCCACATTTTCTGCACATGGTGCTCACCAGCTGTGGCCTGGGACCTGAGGACCCAGCTCTGCTGCCCCTGGGCCTGTATGCTCAGCTTCCTGCCACTCTGGACTTGAACTGCATTTAGACATTCAGTGGGCTCTTCCCCATGGAGGGTTTGAATCTCACGGGCAACTAAAAGGTGCCTCTGACCCCTGTCCACGTTGCCTGACTTGCACAAAGCCAGGCTAGCAGACCTGGGGCTAGGTGAGCTCCTTTGTGCCTTCTCCTGGATCCGCATTGGGCTTACAGAGGACATGAAGGTCGGAGCAGGTTCAAGTCTGGGGAGGGCCCTAGCGGCACTTGGTACCTGTCTGCTGCCGACCCACCCTCGATGGCATCGCGCTCAGTGGTCTGTGCTCCTGCCCACACCCTGTACACACTCACGCTGGGGTTTGTGGTGCCTCCTGGCCCAGCCAGCTGAGAGGCAGTCAGGCTTTATGCCCATGCTCTTGGAAGGAGGGGACCCCCTTTTCAGAACCAGTGCAGACCCCATGGCCCCATCTGGTGCCTCATCTAAGCACTGGCCCTGGGCAGAGCTGAGCCATCTCAGGGCAGCTGCTGCAAACGTGCAGGTGCCGGGAGGCCCTGCCTGGTCCTGGGCAGTGGCCCCTGCAGAAGCTGGCCCGATGGCAGAGGCTGCCTGGGGTCTGCCTGCACAGTGTGGGGACCACGGGCCGCCGGCTCCGCACGGAATATGACTGTGCTGGCAACGCTGCTCCACCTTCCAGGGCCTTGTGAGACCGAGCTGGGCCTGTAATGAGCTGTGGCGGTTTTGTTTTCTAGATTCTGAGAGTGAGAAGCCCGACTGAGCCCAGGCCGGCCAGCCCGACCCCGACGCCAGGCCCCGCGTCGTCACACGTGGAGAAGGCGAGTCCACGCCTCGTGTCCAGTTCACGCTGTTTTGTAACCACTTTCTAAGCATTTTTTATTCACAACTGGAAACACAAACATAATACGAGAATAAAGAATATTTTGGGGGAAAAGGGACTTTGGTTTTTCAAGCTCTGTCCTGTCTGGTGGCCTGAGACCGTAGGAAGCGAGTGAGGGGTGCTGGAGCATGTCCTGGGACCATGCAGCAGGACAAGGCTGGGGGCGCCCTTGGCCGAGGGGTTCCCGGTGTGGTGGGGAACGTGCGTGATTAAGTGGCACTTTACAGTGCACCTGTTAGCCCAGGGTCCTCAGGTTGGGACAGCAGCGGGCACAGGCTGGACAGGTGATGCTCAGAAGCAGCCGAGGCTGAGGATCGATTTCAGGCACCCTCCCCATCACACCGGGGCAGCCCTGGTCTCTGGTAGCACCAGCCCCTGGGAGGCCAAGCAGCAGCGCCCATCTGAGGTGACAACCCTCCACCTGTCCACATTTCGGCCTTGGCGCACACAGCTCCATTCATTTTGCTGACGTGGGGGCTCCCCTGCTCTGTGTCTCTGAAGCTTGACACCCACGCTCTGGGCACAGGGCAGCCACCACAGCCTAAGACCTGTGGCTATGGTGGATGGCAGGGCCAGGCTGCTGGCCCCGGCAGGGCTGTACCCCCAAAAGAAAAATGGGAAGCCTGCAAGCAGCCTCACAGAGACATGCGGTAGAAGAACTGCCGTGTGGCCTGGCCCAGGCGGTGGGAGCTCACCCTGGAGCGCAGCTCAGGGGTCCCACTCATCAGGATGAGAAGTTAGAGCTTTGTTGTCATTAATCTTGGATGGCAACTCAGCGCTCCCTTCAGTGGTGAATGGAGGGGCAGGGCCAGCAGCACCTGGGGCGTGCCACCGCCAGAGCCCCGGACACTGCAGAGGACCTGCAATTGTCACAGGTGATCTACATTCAACGTGACAAAATAACAGCCTGAGACGCAACTCCTGTCCAACTGGTTGATAAAAGCAGAGCAGCTCGGGCTTTGCAGGGGACGTGCACATGTGGTTTGGGGACGTTCGTGAGGACTGTCCACCCCAGCGCTCTCCAGCTCTGCATGTTGCTGCTCAGCCCTGCCCTAGCACATGTCTGGGCCTCGGTCCCTGTGATGGAACAAAGAAGGCCAGCGCGCAGCCAGACAGAACGACATCCTGTGTTTTCTCTTTGTCCCCCTCTGTGGCTGTTCCTAGTTTTTTCCTGGCACTACTAATGCACAGTTTACCTTTTCATCCTTTTAAGCAAGTAATAGTATAAATACTAACGGTAAATATGATGAGGGCAGAAGGCTGGAGGCCCAACGGGCTCGTACACAGTCCCAACAGCACCTGGACACAAGGACCTGGGGGGCCCAAGAGTTCCTTCCGAATCTGAGTAGACAGCACCCAGATTCCTTTCCGTGGGCGATGGATCTGGGCCAGGGAGACCGGGATGGAACACCTGTTCACACCACAGCTCAGGTGAGGGCTTAACCCACTTCCCCTAGTTGGCATCCCCTACTTCCCGGGACCCTGAGAAGCAGTATCTGCCCTACTCCCACTCTGGGAATATTAGGGCCCTTCCTGCAAAGGGGGACTGTCCTCTTGAAGCAGCTCTCGATTGCCATGTTGCTCGGCACAGGTGGAGTGATAGGCTGGTGATGGTCATGGGCAAGCTGCCACCCAAGGGGGGCCCTGCACACCCAGCAGGTCTCCGGAACCCCCAGGGTAAGCCCCAGTCCCCCATCTCAGAGTCTAAGATTCCCTGTGCTGCCTGTGCTGGCCTCCCCCAAGATGTGCCCCTGCTTCGGACATGGCTGGCTGGGCACCTCTGCCCCCCCGCTGCTGCCCACCCTCCCAAGGGCCCCTCATCCCCCTGCTGCTCCAGCACCCCTCTCTGGCCCTCTCAAGCCCTCAGGATCTCCCCTGCACTGAGTCCTGTTGCAAGGCTGGTGGGAACCACTCACCAGACCCCACGAGGGGGTCCTATATACGTATCTCACTTGTCATACTTGGCTTCAAGCTTCCCAAGGGAGAACTCAAGCGCATCCCAGAACAATCCTCAGTGAGCACAGTGGTTGCACGGTGAGCTGTGGCTGAAAGCCAAACCCTCCTTTGGGCAGAAGCCTGCGGCTGTGGCTACTCATCACTATTTACAGGATTTCTGGACTGGAACGCACCTGCCCCGCACCTGGTGCCTTCCCAGAGCCGCCGGGCCCAGCCCAGGCTCTCCCAGAACAGGGATGGCACCACTGTCCAGGTTCACCCAAGCTCTTCCCACGGGGCCGGGCACTGAGCTGCAAACTCTGCTCCCAATTCTCGTTCTGCCCTAGAGAGCTCCCCCAGCCCGCTCTCCTGCAGTGCCTCCCGTGGTCTGTGTGCATCTGCTCTGGGTTGAAGAGCTTAAGTTCTGAAACGTGCATCTTATTAAAGGGCTGGTTGGTTCTCTGTGACCTGGGAAAACCCAGTAAAACAAAAGAAAGAATCCCCCAGGGTTCCAAGCACCCCGGCTATGCCATTC